AGAATATTGTATCTATAAAAAATATTCCTCAGAAATAAAGGGGGAAATAAAGACATTCTAGATGAAGAAAACCTAAGAAAATTTGTTTCCCACAGGTCTACCCTAAAAAGATAGCTAAAAGGAAGTATTGAAACAGAAAGGAAATGATAAAAGAAATCTTATTGACATCAAAAAGGAAGAAAGAACAACACAGAATAAATGAAATAGATTTTCTCATCTTTTGTTTTCTAAGTTATGGTCAATTGATTTTGACAAAGTTGTCAAGGTTCTTTGATGGAGAAAAGACAATCTTTTCTTTTTTTAAAAAATATATTTTTATTGATTTCAGAGAGGAAAGGAGAAGGAGAGTGAGATAGAAACCTCAACGTTGAGAGAGAATCATTGATCGGTTGCCCCCCACATCGCCCCCATTGGGAATCAAACCTGCAACCTGGGCATGTGTCTCTGACTGGAATTGAACTTGGGACCCATCAGTCCATAGGTCAATGCTTTATCCACTGAGCCAAACTGGCTAGGGCAAGATAATCTTTTCAACAAATGATGCTGGAGGAATTGCCATATCCATTAAGATAAAATTAAACCTCAACTTTTAGCCTCATGCCATGCCAAAAGTTAACCTGAAATGGATCACAGGTCTAAAAGATGATGCTAAGCCGTGGTTGGATAGCTCAGTTGGTTAGAGTACTCTACAGAGGGGAGGCAGGTTGAGGGACTGGAATATATTAACCAAAGAACATATATGTATATATGCATAGCTCATGGACACACAATAATGTGGTGAAGGTTTGGGGCTGGGGGCTGGGTGGAGGGTAAAGGGGAGAATTGGGGGACTCTGTAATAATGTAAATAATAAAAACAAACAAATAAAATAACTTCTTGTGGAAAAAAAGTACTTCGTACACTTAGTAGCCAAGACTTTTAAATTAATTAATTAATTAATTAGTTAATTATTTTTTATTGACTATATTGGGTGATCTTGATTAATCTATACTAATAATAGTGGTATATGCAAATTGTCTGGGATGCCATCACAGTAACAGTAATGACTGCACAGCAGGCTGCCTGGGGAGACCAGGTTGGCAGAGGG